AACAAATATAAGGAATTAAAAACATTTTAGAGAATTTAGGTAATTTAGAAAAAATATATATTGGTTTTTGCTTAAAAACCATTTATTTATATTTTATTTAAGATTTTTTAACCTATGCTCAATTGCTCTATAGTTTACTGTTTGTCTGAATTTACATTTTAACTATACACAAATTAAAATATAATTACCTTGCGTATAGCATCGAGTTCGTAAAGCAGAACTTGATAGAACTGCCCTTCACTCACACCATCACTGTACACACAGCACCAATCCACAAGATGGAAGAAAATGGCAAAAATTAGAGGAAATTAAAGACTAGGCAAATGGATATAATATCACACATTATATATACACAGAGAGTTCAACAAGTTACCGATAGAAAATAATTCGCTGAGGTTTCTGTCCAGTAGCCCGACGGAATGAAATAAGCAACTCCCTGAAACATGTGACAAATCATTTATAAACATAAAAAAAAAAAAAGAATATAACTGTCGAAAAAATGATTTTATCTTCTAAACTGCCCGAGCGTAACAATTCCAAAACGATTACTTTATCATGCCACCGTGCATAGTCCCCTTGACTGGATCTTGCCAGGTTTTATAGAGGTCTTGAATGAGCTCCTGCCTATGGGCCTGAGCACAGACCAAGCCTGCATATTTTGTGATTTCGGGCCAATCCTGAGATGCAACAACCTGGAAAAAAGAAAACAAAAAAAACAAAAAAAATCAGCCAAAGTTGAGCACATGCAAAAGCTAATAATATCTCTATCTAGTTATATTTTCCATGCATGCAGCTGAATTTTATTTAGTCGAGAATTTACAGCAGCAATGGATGGACTAGAATCCTCTCCGGGATGAGGATGAGTGACATCAGCACCAAAAATGATAGTCGGCCGATCACTGACGAGTGGTATACGCCTAGAGATTGCATCAACCAGCACAGTATTCCTCCCGCCAACTTTCACGTTAATCTTGAGTGCTACATTTGCCAGATACTGTTTGCTCATCTTATAAACATGCTTTTGAAGGCAGCATTGGGAGACAATGCCAAGATCCGTTTCGCATATACGCTTCAGATCACCTGACAAATAGATTAAATGAAAATAAGGAAAAAATAAAGATAAAAAAATCATATCCTTTTTCCAAAATCCGATCTCATTTACCATAAAGGGACCCATTATTGTCCGGAAGTATCACAATTAGCAAGTCGAGCTCCTTCTTTTGGGGTTGCAATTTTGTCATCACGTCATGGAACCGAGCTTTAAGGACCCTTTCTACCTGATCTGGGCGGCCAGTCAGAACTTGTAATACAGGTTCGGGATTGAAATCCTTCCAAGTCAAAAATGAATTTCAGAAGGGACAAAATATATTAATTTCATTAAGAAAAACATTAGTAAATAAATATCCCATCTTTACCATGCCAGATGTAATGCACATTTGAGCAAGCTCGTGACAGAAACTACGTGCAACATTGTCTTGAACATTACGGGCAAAATTAATGCAGATCCAGCTGCCCACAATCCCACCATTAACCATTCTCTGCATGGATCAATAGCAATAGGTATCGTAATTTCTTTTTCGTTTACTGAATACTAGCATACACCTTTTTTTTTTCTTTGGCAATTTAATTTTTACCTTGTTCATCATATTCCACTGCCCAACCTGAGGAAGACAGTCCTTCTCCCGACCCGAATCATGATATTTCAGCTGAAGAAAAAAAAAAGTGAAACTACATAAAATGAGACATACTTAAGTTAATTCTCAAAATTATCCAAGACTAGAGCTTTCTGATTACCCGAGGTGGAGGCAACACACGAGCTTCAACCTGCGCCAACTTGTCACTAATTTTGATGCCGAACTCCTTAGCAAAAGGGTCCTGGGCATATGCATTGTGGCGTACAGTCTGAAAATGCAAAGAGTGATGTCAAGAAATTTAGATTGCGTTAACATACCCAAATAAACACTAATTAATTTAAAAATAAAAAAATAAATAAATAAATAAATAACATTGAAATCATATCCCAACAAGTTAGATCAGTTTTGATGGTTAACCTGGAGTATGTCATACTCTCTTTCCTGAGGACGCTGGCAAGTGACCTTGAGAAGTGCAGTAATCTGTCTCTCATTCAACCTCTTGGAGTACCTCTGGCCCTCAACTATCTTGCACACCTATGGACCCAGAAAGAGTTTATTGGCACCATATGTTTACCATATTGATGAAAATCACAAATCAAAAGGGTAAGTAGCTAAGTATACAGACCTCCATAGGCAAATAGTTCGGTCGTTGAGTATTTCCAACTTGCAGGCAAGGCCATTGGGTCTGTTGAATAACAAAACCATAGGTTTCTTGAAAGTATTCGACCACAGATTTCATGGTGCCTCTCTCGTCAACCGGGAATCTAAAAACAACCAAAGTTCAAATTTCAGAACATGATTAATTCAAAGGCATTATTATCTCCATGATATTCAAAGTTCACTGGATCGAGCAACATTGTCATGAGATGTACTATTGACTGTTGCAGTTACTGGGTTGAACAACGCATAAATAAATATTTTTTGCCTGATAAATATTACACTCGATATATTTTTTGCCTGATGAAGCTACGATATGATGATAACAGAATAACAAACAGTAATTGATCACTTACGTTAGCTCTCGTGTTGCTTGTGAAGTTAAACCAGAGATTCTGTATTTCCTTCGCATGTTCCCTCGATGAGTCACCTCAACCTTTACTCCTCTAAGTGCTTTTTTGATCTGTAAAATTTGAATAATATCACTAGAAGCTCAATATAGCTAAAGAGATCCAACCACCAAACACATATATTAGATACATATAATGAACAATTATGCTCCCGAAATTAACCCGAAGACCAAACCTTAACACGGTCAGAATCAGATAATGGTCTAGCTGAAACATCTCTATTCAGAAGTTGGCACACAAAATCTATTACAGGGAGCGGCTCAATGAAAGCAGTGGACGACATATCTGCTCAATCAGTGATTGAATGAAACAAAAGTCATTTCCAATTTACCATACAAGATAAGAAATTATCCACCATATACAAAATAATGAACCAAAACTGAAAATTTGAACTAGGGAAAATCAAGAAGCAGCATGCTCACCGATATTTAGTGACAACCCCATCTGAGTGGGGCGGATACTCTGATAGAAACCACGCCAGCTTTCAAGTCCTTCCCCCAGAGGCTGCCTCCTTCCTAAATCGGGGGAATAGAAAGAACGGCCTACTGGACAATACCTAAAAATGAACACAATAACAATCAATACAAACCGAATAATGCAAGTCCTGAATTCATGATTATTTGCTGAAGATAAAAACAAACCTAGAAGTGGGAAGTTCACGCAGAACAATGTCCAAAACTTGAAGAGCCTCTTGTGGTGCATCAGCTTGCCTACCCTGTAAAAACATCCCTAGATGGTGCAAGTCAGCACGTGCAGCAAACTTGATGACCACCTTGAATTCCCTCTCACGCCTACAAACAATTGGTAAGAAAACCTGTTAACCTCAACAAGAAACAATATCACGCAGTACAATACATGAAACAACGGTTAATTAGACCGAATTTATGAACCTGGGCCCGCCTGCTCCATCATCTTCATCAAGAAGGGTTATTCTGAACTCCTTAGATACAAAAGGCAGGGGACCCGCAGTGTAGAGACTCTTTCTCCCATCATATGCAGGCAGCCTCTTTCCCAGATGAGACTCCTTGTACAGCTTCACAAGTTGTTCCATCACAGCACGATTAACTCCACGTGACGTGACTTCAGGGGTAATTGTTACCTATTATCAACCAGAAGAAAAAGGAGAAGAAGTCAATCAAAAAATGAAAAAACAAATAAAAAAATAATAATAATTATTATAATAATAACAAAGAAGCAAAAAGAGTCAGATATCACTTGATGCAAAACATCTTACATCATATTGATGCAAGTCCTTGTCAGGCAGCTCAGCGAAAAAGTGGTTGGCTTTCACAATGCACCTGATACCAAAGCTTCCCTTGCCAGGCCTTAAGGGAAATCTCATCGACTTGCTCGAAGCAGGTGGAATTTCTTGGATTGGGGCCATTTCCTGCACGGAAAGCTGCTGCATTTGCTCAGCCACCTCCACTTGGGTCGGCTCTGGTGGTGATGCCTTTGAAAAGGATGAAGAAGAGGAGCCCGGCCCACCAGGCTGAATCGATGGGGATTGATATGGAGACTGTGTAGCTTGGTACAGCTCGGGAGCTGGTGGCCTAGACTGCCCACCACTGGATGAACCCTCTCGACTGCCTGCATAGGCACCGCGGCCCTGTGGGCCCCCTCGCTGGTATTGAGGGCCGCCCCTACCCCTACCCCGACCCTGACCTTGATCGTGCGGTCCCTGCTGGTAGTAGTCGTGGGGCCCGCCATAGTATGGCTGCTGCGAGGGCCCCCGGCCACCTCCACCACGGCCACCATATCCTCCACGGTGGGGCCCGGCCGAGCCTCTCCCTCCTCCTTGCTGCTGATAGGCCTGTTGGACCTGTGGAAGCTGATGCTGGGCTGGTGGGCGCTGGGGCCCGCCTCGTCCTGCGCCGGTCTCCTGAGATTCTGAGCTCTCGCCGCCAGTGCCAGGAAGATCGGTACGCCTCTTTCTCACCATTGTATCAACTACTGGAAAAAAATACACACCAGAAATCACATTATATTTCAAGTATGTCAATTCATACAATTATGTGCAAGAAATGCCAGAAAAATCATGCAACATGGAAAAACTTAGTTCACTCTGAAATAAATGTATGCAAGCACAAACAAAATCGTTTAACTCCAAAGGAAACAATTGCCAGCGACAGCCATTTCCAATGAGTAAGGATTGCATATCATTCATATGGTAGCAAGTAATAAAATGATAGGCAACTGTATGAAATGTACATATCATGACACACGCACTTGGTTTCTTACAGAGACAATTACAATGAATCTAGCACTAAATACATATATGCATTATGCAGCATTGATGTGTAAGCCCATGTTGACACAAGTGTAAGAATGAAAAGAACGGAAAAAGAAATAAAACTGAGTACATAAAACAAGGAGAAGATGGCTTTGGAACAATGAACCAAATACCATAAGGAAAAATTAAAACAAAATGAAAGAAACTTTGTGAGAAGGTAAACAAACAAATACAAGAGTGACACCCAAATACAGGTGCAAAGAGATCGATAAATACTTCAAACAAACAGTGCAAGAAAACAAACATTCCCAAAAAAAATCCAAAAAAAAAAAAAAAATTCATTAACATCGGGAGTCAATTTTCATTACCATTTTTTAAAGTGATTACAGAACAAAGAAATTGGGAACCAGAAAAGAAAAACAACATATCCACAGAACGGCACCGGCTTGAACTTAAAGGTCAAACCACAGGTAACCACCCTCTGTCGACTAGACAAAGGAAAGCTAATAAGTTGTGCTAGACAGTACAAATCCACTAAGAGAAATGAAGTTGCCATTTTCGTAACAGTATATATATGAAAAAAAAAAATAAAAAA